ACCAGTAATAAAAATTTTGAATCCCACCACTGGTTAGTCCCCAAACTTTTTGGCACCAGAGACCAATTTTGTGGAAGACAATTTTTCCATGGACTGGGGAGGGGGGACGGGATGGTTTTGGTTTCACTTACTCACCCATCACTCAACTCCAGCTGTGTGGCCCAGGTTCTAACAGGCCATGGACCACTACTGATTGGGGACCACTGCTTTAAAGATTTTTATTCAGTAGAAAAAATGCACATTATTTTTGTTTGGCTAAATAAACATCACTAGGTTTACTGAAGCTGCATGACACGAGACTAATTGATGATTTTTAAAATTTTAATTAGGATGGAATCTTAAGGATGTGAATTAGAGAAGTCTGAGAAAGTGAGGTTCAGTAATTTATGAGAAATGATTCTACTGCAGCTTTTGTGATGCTCATAGCCTGCAGCCATGGATCATGTTATTCCCTTTAGCAATAGTACTTAGACTTACATACTACTTCACAGTGCTTTATAGTCCTCTCTAAGCAGTTTACAGAGTCAGCATATTGCCTCCAACAAACTGAGTCCTCATTTTACCAACCTTGGAAGGATGGAAAGCTGAGTCAACCCTGAGCTGGTGAGACTCGAACTGCCGAATTGCTGGCAGCTGATAGCAGAATTAGCCTGCAGTACTGCATTCTAACCACTGCATCACCACAGCTCTTTAGCTCCAAATGATTTGTGCTGAGGATCTAAAACACATTTTACCCAATGTTTTCTTTCAGGGAAGTTTGCTAGTTATTTACTGCATGTATTTGGGCACAAATTTATTCCACTAAGATGGATCAGCTCCTTCCTTGCTAATGACTACTTCTTTTCACTGATGCCAAGCATTTGAATTTCTTTTGAAATTGGTAGGTCACGTGTAGGTTAGTCATAGTTTGAGCAATCCCATCTTCATGCCTTGACCATAAAAAATGAAATCAGAGCTAAGAATCAAACAATACTATTGCAGTTAAGAGCCATTTGTTTTCGTTGCATTTGATCCCTGATTTTGATCTGTTTAGACAAAAGTATTATTTTGTGATTTTGCCATTCTGATGTAATTTTTTTTACAGAGGAATGCAGCAGAACTTTAGCAATAAAAAATTTCCCTGGATTTTTCCCCTCTGCCCTTTCTGTATTGACTGATAATGTGTATACAGTATACAGTATACTGTGGGATGGGAGGTTGGAAGGTCTATTTGAAATCCAAACAGATTTTTTTTCACCTCAATGATTTCATATCTTTCTGGTTGTGATTTTTTTAAACCATAATAATGATAAGAGTACTTACAGTACAGAAACACAATTGCTTGGATAACAGATGTAGTGATTAACCTTACCAGTGTTATTTTAAATAGCAGATCATGGGGACTATGGAACTAATATAATCCCAAAATATATAAGAATTGCTGAACCTGGATTTTTCATGGCATTGTTTTTTTGGAGAGGAGTATATGTGTGCATGCAAGTTTATAGCATAATATTAATAATATTATTATAATATAATAATAATAATATAATATAATATTAATAATATTATAATATTAATAATATAATATTAATAATTATGACTAATTGTATACAGCATAAGGTTTCATCAAACACATCTTCCCCAAACCACTGAAAATCCACTAGTTTGTGACAGAAATATTTAAATATTGGAGAAGTAACCATGCTGATTTCATTTCATTTAAATGTTATAAATTAAGCATAGTTCTTTTTTTCCTTTCTAATACCAGCTCTTTTTGGTGGATTGAAGTCTCTTAGAATATCTCTCCATATCCATTTTTTGTCTTTTCTTTTCTGAGACATTATATCATTTAAATAATGATATAATTCCATATTAAATTTGAAAGGGATTGGCAAACAAATGAAAGGTTAAATGCATTTTTTACAAATATCAAAGGTTTGTATAAATAATAGGAATGCAGACACATTGTTCAGGTGACACATGCAAAGTTGACAAGCAAAGTACACATGTCATCTGAACAATGTGTCTGCATGTTATGACTTTCTGCTTTTGTCCCTATCGGTAGACATACTCTGTTAAACATGAATTCTACAACTGATGTACCTTAAGCTTTTTAAAAAAGACTTTCATTTCTTATAAAAGCTATATTGCTTATAATGATTCATTGCACTTTTTATGGGTTAGATCCAGATTTATTTTTACCAAGAATTGTGTTTGGAAAAGTTCTATTGAACTAAAAAAACCACCAGTTTCCAGGATGCTGAATAATGCAAGTTGGAGATTTAAAGATCCTATTATGACTTGGTGGCAGAGGTGGTATTCAGCAGGTTCTGACCAGTTCTGGAGAACTGGTAGCAGAAATTTTGAGTACTTTGGAGAACCAGCAAATACCACCTCTGACTGGAGATTTTACAGTATCCTTACCCTGCCACGCCCACCAAGCCACGCCCACAGAACTAGTAGTAAAAAAATTTGAATCCCACCACTGCTTGGTGGGATATAAGTTTTGCTCTGTAAAATCTTTCCTTTATTATTCTTTTGTCCTGTTGAAACTGCAAAACCCTTTTGAGGCCTTAGAATTTTTGTGTTTGTGTTGTTTAATTGTGTGGAATGTGGGAATATACAGTATAACACAGTCGTGTAGTTAGCAAAAGAAGAAAGAAGCTTGATTTTTGCGAAATAGCAACAAAAGGGCTTCCTGATTTGGGGGAGGAGGGTATTCCCAGATTTAGCATCTGAGCCTTCCTTAGACCTGTCCTTCCATTAACTTCCCAAGACCCTCTCTCATAGTTTCCTCTCCTGCTGGAATATAATCTGTGAGGAGGTGACCAGAGGTAGTATTCAGCAGGTTCTGACCAGTTCTGGAGAACCGGTAGCGGAAATTTTGAGTAGTTCGGAGAACCAGCATAAATCCCACCTCTGACTGGAGATTTTACAGTATCCTTCCCCTGCCACGCCCACCAAGCCACGCCCACAGAACCGGTAGTAAAAGAATTTGAATCCCACCACTGGAGGTGACCAATGTTGCCATTCTTTGATTGGTAGTTCTACCAGCCAATTGTCACATCTTTGAAAAGATAGTTCAAATTCCTCTTCGTATTACTTTTCAAATTCTTCTTCATGGTTCATTAGATTGGGAGAACGTTTTGAACATCTGTTTTGCTTTTCTAAAGGAGCAAGAATGTTTTCCTGTACCTTCATCTACGTTCATCACCATTAACTTAAATTTGCAGTGGTCACAGGGTGACTCTGGAGGCAAATGTCTTATCACCAACTTCCCTAGAAGTGATGAGACTTCCAGCTAGCACTGCCTATGACATTTATCACACTTGATCTCCTCATAAAGTCTAGCTTTTGTGTAAAAGTCATCCTATTCTGCTTTTTTTTAAAAAAAACATGACAGCTATGTAAGGCAATAGGGTTCCATATAGTGGGGGGGCTGCTGCTGGTTCAGACTGGTTCTAGCGAACTGGTAGTTCCAATGATCAGCTGGCCACACCCACCCACCCACCTCACCCTATCCTGTCCTATATTACCGACTTTCTGAGCTCAGCTGATTCCCATGGCACAGTGGATTTCCGTGCCTCAGCTGTTTTACTTATCGGGGCTGCCCTAGAAGGTAAGCTTTTTAGGTTCAAATTGGTGGTTTTTGAACGCTGCACAGCACGCACTCACAGAACCACAGGTCGTTCCATATTTAGAATATCTTGCTCAAAATCCATTTATAGAGGAAGAAGTGACTAACTCAGAAGCAGCCCAAACTGGATTAGATTATTTCCAGAGATCCAATCGATATCCCAAATCCTTTTGGAGAATTTCTGCACATACCCTGTTTATCTGTTATCAACAGCTGTGACCGTGGCTTATTTTGTTCAATGCCTATTGTTTATTTTCTAACCAACTTTAAAACAAAAAGAAACCTCAATCAGATTCATGAATGGAAAACGCAAGATACCATCCAACAGGCACACATGGTGCTCAGAGCAAACTGGAAATGACCGCTTTTATTAAAATATGACAGTATATTACCAAGGGTATAGATTTTCTTATTTCTAATGTCTGTTATATTGTCAGCTGTCTTTATCTTGAAAGGGAGCTTAGAAAAATCTTTGTAAAGGCAGTCCTCAACTTACAACAGTTCATTTAGTGACTGTTTGAAGTTACAGCAACACTGAAAAGTGACTTATGACCATTTTTCACACTTATGACCATTGTAGCATCCCCCATGTTCATGGGGGGGATCCAAAATTTGGATGTTTGGCAACTGGTTCATATTTATGATGGTTGCAGTGTTGCCAGATTATGGGAACAACTTTGCAACCACCTGACAAGCAAAATCAATGGGGGAAGCCAGATTCACTTCACAACCGGGTTATTAACTTAACAACTGCAATGATTCACTTAACAATCATGGCAAGAAAGTCATAAAATGGAGCAAAACTTAAATGTCTCAAAAAGCAACATAAACTTTGGTCTCAATTATAGGACTACCTGTATTCCAGCAATACCACATTTATCTGATTTGGGAATTGTCCACTGACTTGTTATCACTTTTTGAGATAAAGGGGTTGGTGGTCTTATATTTGTGTTCACAAAATGCTTGGAGAGTTTGAGAGGTATAGGCATGCCAGATATGCATTCAAGAGTGGCTCTTCTATCATATGATGAGATCTATATGTATCACTCAGAAAAGCAGGCCAGTTCTGGTAGTATTATTCGAAAGGGAGACTGGAGGCTACTGCTTCTAGGACATCATTTCTTCCTGGTTTCACAATTTGTTTCTGCATTGTTCTCTGAGTAAAGTTTGAAGCTCCTTCCTAGAGCAAACAGGTCTGCTTCTGCTTCTCATGAAGACTGCTTATTTTGACTTACGGGTAGGTGCATGAGAAGGGCAAGGTCACTGTAGAACAAATGTGCCTCTGTGTATATTTCTTGTGATCACATTGCCACCTGAAGCGTTTATTTAGTTTGCTAACTTCCACTCCTCCTCCCTGCTTCCCCACTCCCTTTTTCTGTAGATTTCATAAAACAAAGTCGAGAGAAGTTGGAACAGACCATCAAGGCCTCCAGTTCCAGGCTGTGCTCCTAGTGAGTATCTGTTTTTTTTCTGTCAATGGGGTGCTGTTCCTTTAAAATTCAGCCTGAGGATGCCCTCCTACCAGGAATAAGCAGTGAATTGAGCCGACTGGCACAGGCATGATGCAGAGGGAACCACGACTTGCACAAACTGGGATTTGTTACTCAATATGGCTTTGTTACACTGCTCCGCTTCCAAGGAGAGCTTTTTGTCAGGCAGATGTAAGTAAGGGACTTAAGTAAGATACCCGAAAATGAGACTTAATTCTGGGGCCTATAGAGGATATTTTGAAATGTGGCACTTTTACTTAATGTCTTTGCTTTTAAGAAATAAGGGGATATGCTAGCGTGGAACTGCCAAATGATTATTTTTTTTTAGCCTTTGCCTTTACAACTGGAAATGTCTCATGTTTGGTTTGTGGGAGTTTGCTCCAAAAAATGTTAGGATTAGAGTTTTCAGAGTATATATAGATACTCTGCAGTTAATCCTTCCTTGTTACAAAATGTCATTCTTTGAATGTAGTCTGCTAATAATTTCACAGGGAACAAGGAGGAGAAATGTACAACAGGAGTATCTATTAAGGGCTAATTGTAACTTGGGGGTGGATTTACAGTGGGGAAATAGTAAAGAGATGGCTTTGAAAACTTCAAAAAGACTTTGAAAGATCTAATTACACCTTTAATTGTAAAAGTGTGTAAAGTATACAAATTGCCTCGACAATTCTAACTATTCGGTGATAAAAGCAGGAAAAAATAGATTAATTTGCTGACAAGGTTTTAATTAATCCTCACTTAAAATAGGACAAGAAATGGCTGAATGCCATTCCAACTGTTATCACAAATAACAGCTCTGTTCTGGCTTTGTTAGACTATGGGTTTAATAAGAAGTTTTATTTCTTAACTGTGACAGCCAAATTAACCCCCCAGGGTTTAAATGAGACCTGTGACGTAATGGTGGAGTCTCAGTGTCTCAGTCTTGTTCCACTTTTCTCAGTTAATCATTCTCTTTTTAACCCTCAGTGCTGAAAGAGTAGCTGTTTTAATGGACCATTCCAGAAGCCCAGAGCACAATAGCCAGGTAAGGGCTGAGATCTTCATTAAAAGTATCGGTGATGGGACAATTTTGAACAAAGAGAAGATGGGGCAAAGTTACTTAGCTGCCTTAGATCAGTTGGGAGAAAAACAATTTTATCCATCATAGGCCAGTCTGCCCAAAGGTGGCCCCTTTGGATTTGCTGACTGGCTAGTGATTATGAGAGCTGAGACCCAACACATCTGAAGAACACCGAGTTGGGGGGAACTGCTGGGTTATCCTGGTATGGGTTTCTCTGCAAATTTACCATTCTTTGCAATTAGGTAGCTTCAGTCTTTTTTTCATAGATGTGGCCACAATTAGCCAATGTACAGGTGGGTCCTTGACTTATTACCACATTTGGGACCAGAATTTCCATGGCTTATCAAGGCAGTGGTTAAGTGACTTTATGACCTTTTTTGCCATGGTTGTTAAGCAAATCACTGCAGTTGTTAAGTGAGGAATGCAGTCCTTAAGCAAATCCAGCTTCTCCCATTGACTTTGCTCCTGTTAGCCAGCTGGGAAGGTAGCAATTCCATGATCCTGGGATGCTGCAATACATGCCAGGCACCCAAATTTTGCTAATGTGACCATGGGGATGCTATGATGGTTGTAAGTTTGAGGACTGGTAGTAAGTCACTTTTTTCATGTCACAATTGTAACTTCAAATGGTTACTCAACAAATGGTTATAGTTTAAGGTCTGCCTGCAAACAATTGTTACTCAACTTCATGACTTTTTGTTTTCTATCTACAGCCATCACCAAGTGACAATATCAACCTTGGACCATCTGCTAATCCCAAGTAAGACCATGGAAAAGACCATTCATAGCACTATGGAATACAAAGAAATTGATGGTTTTCCTTCTATATTATAGAATTATAGTCTAGTTTGATGAAAAGAAGGACTAGGGGTGACATGATAGCAGTGTTCCAATATATCAGGGGCTGCCACAAAGAAGAGGGAGTCAAGTTATTCTTCAAAGCACCCCAGGGCAGGACGAGAAGCAATGGGTGGAAACTAATCAAGGAGAGAAGCAACCTAGAACTAAGGAGAAATTTCCTAGCAGTTAGAACAATTAACCAATATAACAACTTGCCTCCGGAAGTTGTAAATGCTCCAACACTGGAGGTTTTTAAGAAGAGATTGGATAACCATTTGTCTGAAATGGTATAAGGTTTCCTGTCTAAGCAGGGGGTTGGACTAGAAGACCTCCAAGGTCCCTTCCAATTCTTCTATTCTATTCTATTCTATTCTATTCTATTCTATTCTATTCTATTCTATTCCACTCCATTCCACTCCACTCCACTCCACTCCACTCCACTCCATAATATAAGGCTAGCTATTTCGAGCTCCAGTAAAACCTTCTCTTATAGGCTGCTAATAATTCATTGGTAGTACAAGCAAGAAATACGTGCAGGGACCACAGTGTATTTTAATGATGGGGAGGGGTATGGGGAGAATAAAATTATAGCCTTGAGTTAACTGTTAATATTTTACACAAAGGTTACCTGGAGCCCAGTAGTGGGCTTCATTATTATTTTTTGACCTTGGAATTGCATTGTAATAGCTCACAGACAATGAAACCTTTACATCTCAGCCAGTGGATTCAATTTTTTTTTTACTACTGGTTCTGTGGGCATGGCTTGGTGGGCGTGGCAGGGGAAGGATACTGTAAAATTTCCAGTCAGAGGTGGTATTTGCCAGTTCTCTGAACTACTCAAAATTTCCGTTACTGGTTCTCCAGAACTGGTCAGAGCCTGCTGAATACCACCTCTGATCTCAGCCAATAAAACATACATGTTTGCCTTCACGGGTGAAGGAAAGTAAGTATCTACATCCTGAACTTCTTTGCTTGCTTTTGGGCAGGGGTAACCATTTGCCAGACTAGAACAGCAGATTATGGGAAAGTAAGAAACTATTGGGGGAGGGTTGGGTTAGTAGAAAGAGTTATTGTGCCTTGAGTCCTACACCCCAAAATAAGCCCCCTGGAATGAATGACACTGGGAGAGAAATTGAAGTAAAATACAACTCTAAACTTATCAGCCTTTGTAGATCCATTTTATCATCCACGCTGCAAAAATGTATTATGATTGATTTAGAGGTAGAGGACAAAGTTCTAACTAATATAGAAGAAGGCCTTTGGTGTATTTATTTTGTCTTTTTTCCCCCCTAATAGTGCCAAGCCAACTGATTTTGACTTCCTAAAAATAATTGGCAAAGGAAGCTTTGGGAAAGTAAGTAACCTAGTTTGGGAAGTTTTCTTGTGGACCGCTTGTTGATCCAAATAGTTTTTCATTCATGGCTTTTGACTTTTGGGAATTAATGTAACATTTGCACGTGCTATTTTCCCAGTCAGAATAGTCCAATCATAAGGCACAGTGAGATGGATACCTTAGGCCATATACTGTATTTTGTATGCGTGAAACATAGCAACTTCTTGATTATTTATTCGTAAGAAATGCTTACTATTAAATTATTCTGTGGAAAACAGGGCAGAAAGTGCTTCTGGGATTTTTTTTTCTTCAGTAATAAAATAAACCAATTTTAACTCATAACACCTAGAGTTGTATGAACAGTATATAAATGTAGTAAAAAATAATGAGAGTGAATGGGCAGGAATATAATTTATTTTTCAACTGCTCATAGAAAGTTGCCTTAAGCCAAACTTGCTTCCATATTTACAATAAAAAAGTGTGGATTTGCTTCTGCTACTAATGATTATGATGATTGGCATTTCAATGAATCTATTCCATATAACAAGGCACAAAGCACTATTTGTGGCTCCTAATCTTTCAGATTGCCACTGTGTCAAGGGAAATTCAAATGAGAGTATATCTTTAAAACATCAAAAAAATTCAAGATGTCTAGAAATGCATCTCTTGGTTCATCCCTGTACATTATTTGTAATGATGTGTAAATGCCTTACCAATCGTTTTTGAGGGACATGTTTTTATTATGTTGCTTCTCTCATCCCTAGATGACTACTGAAATAGCCTAAAGACATCTTTCATTGTTTTACTTATTTATTAAATTTATTTGCCAATAAGGGTGGGACACAATAAGGGTGGAACACAAACAATTACCTATTTTATAAGGTAAAAGATATTAAAAAGTATATATGTTTATATATCTTTTTTATTTTCTTTTAAATTATACTCTGGTAAATCTGTTATCCCTTCTAATGCTGTGTACCCCACTCTCCCTATGTTGTGTATACTATTTTTATATCTTTCAGCTTAAAAAAATTGTTTCTATACCAGCTACCTTAAGCTGATCTATTATCACAATAAAGATTTCATTTGGAAAAAGGATCAAGTTCTATTTGGCTCAGTACCACAAAAGGAAGAAAGATCCATAGGCACAATAACACCGAGAGTTCTCTGGTTTAAGATCCTTTGCTCTGTATTTCTTCTGATAATTCAGACAGGCATTTGTGGAGTGGTGATGATGGTGTTTGACTAGGCATTTCAATCATCTATTTCTCTGAGAGTATTATTGATCTCCTAAAAGATCAGTACTCCAGTGAAATGATTTTATTGTTGCTGCCAGCTCGGGTTCACTGAGATTATTATCAGGAGTCTGACAGCATCTTTTCTGACTAATGAAATGTACTAAAAGGCATAAGCTTTCATGAGTAGCAGTTCATTTCATCAAATGCATCTCACAAAAGCGTATGTCTTTTAATAATATTTATTTTAAAAGGTGCTACCAGACTTCTGATTTTTTTTTGCCACAATAGATTAACTCAGCTTTCCTCCTACAATGTCTACCAGATTACTCTAGTTTTTCACTTTCTGCCCAGAAAGGAGCTTCAATTACCCTTGCAAGAGGCCTGGGTGAAGAGCCAAGTCTTCACGACTCTTTGAAACACCAATAGGGTAAAGACCTTCCAGATCTTGGGGAAAACCTTGTTCCAGAGGGCAGGCACTGCTACAGAGAAGATGCATTCCTGGGGTCTCAATAGTTTGTATTGTTTAATCAAAGGAATCGAGACCATCACTGTTGATACTAATTCTGGATCAATTGAAGCATCTATATAGTCCTCAAGGACAGCCTCATGTAGAGTATATTGCAGTAGTCAAGCTGCAAAGTGAACAGGATGTGAGGGATTATCCAAAATACCTTCCGATCTAGGAAACAGCAGAGCTGGCACAGCTGGCATACCAGATGAAGGCATGTAAAGGCCTCAGGCTTAGTTATTGTTCCATATTAAAAGTCCCATTTCTTAAATTCCATTTAGAAATTCCAGAGTATTTTACTTTTTAAAATGAATGTCTCAGTTTAGCCTGTTATATTGAAAGCAATAAACACTTATAAATGGAATGGATTAGCAAGTCATAGATTACTGCCATTTTTCTATATTATAATATTAAACATTTTCAATTAAGTATTGGTTTTTGCCTCCAATTTCCCCCCCTCAGAACAGATGTCTCCTTTTGATATGATTAGAAGAAACAAACTCTTTTCAAACTCTCTATATTTCTTGTGCTGTTAATATATATCACATAGATTTTTTTTGGTTGCTAGCATTGTGCTTCTAAAACAGGCCAACTGGGATAGTTGAAAATTGGTACTGAAAGCTTCTTGGTCTCTCATTTCTATTGCAGGTCCTTTTGGCCAAACACAAGTCTGATGGAAGATTCTATGCTATAAAAGTTTTGCAGAAAAAGTCCATCCTTAAGAAAAAAGAGGTCAGTTTGAAATATATTTTGTTTACATTGAGTACAGAATATTTTACTACTTCTGCCTTCTTCTGTAGTATGATCTTTTTTAACCAAATGACAGATATTTATATTTTAGCATGTGTAATGGTTATGTTGATAGGCATATGCTTGCATGTATATATTTCTATGAAGAATTTAGTAGCAATAAATGATAATAGTTTATTGGTTTTAGGAACTATTTTATGCTACTGTCTTCTGATCCAGTTAGGAACTTGGTCTATCCATCAGGTCTATCGTGCATTAGAAAACCCCTGCAGTTGTTGCTGTAATGATCTCTCGTGTTGTTATGCTACCATCCAATGATAGCACATTGCAAGCCCCCCCAGCCCCCCAAAAAACATTGACAACCCCCAGAAACCAGATTTGCTCTCTACTTCCTTCTTAACCTTCCATATCAATAAGAATGGACTTTCCTGTATGCTTTTCTTCTGTTCTGTTTTTAAGCCTCTGAGGTAAAACTGACAACAATATGAAGGAAAAGTAAGTTGGGCATATAGAACCTTATCAATAGCTGGCAGATAGCACACAATACTTGGTGTGAAAGCCATGTCATCCACATGCCTTTAGTGGATTCCTCTAATACATTCAATTTATAGCAAAAAAAGGCATAGAAGGAGAGCTACATTAACTCTGTTTCTTCCTTTCTACAGTCTGTTTAAAAAAACCCACTCTCTGCTAAAGATGCTATTTGAAAGTAGCAAGTAAAAACATTTTTTTTTTTGGCCCCATGGGAGTTTTATTTTATTTATTTATTTATTTATTTGATTTGCCAATTGTTTACAAGATAATAAGTATAAATGTATACATAGTTGTGAATACATGAAATGGTTACATACAAGAAAAATAAAAGAATAGGAGAAACAATAGGACAGGGACGGTAGGCACGTTGGTGTGCTTATGCACGCCCCCTACAGACCTCTTAGGAAAGGGGTGAGGTCAATAGTAGACAGTCTAAGGTTAAAGTTTTTGGGGTTTGGGGAAGAAACTACAGAGTCGGGTAGAGTATTCCAGACATTGACCACTCTATTGCTGAAGTCGTATTTCCTGCAATCAAGTTTGGTGCGGTTTACTTTGAGTTTGTATCTATTGTGTGCTCTTGTGTTGTTATGGTTGAAGCTGAAGTATTCATTGACAGGTAGGACATTGCAATGTATGATTTTGTATACCATGCTTAAGTCAGACCGAAGACGGCGTAATTCAAGGTTTTCTAGTTCTAGAATTTCAAGTCTGGTGGCATAAGGTATTCTACAGCGAGTAGATTTGAATGATCCCTCCTCCAAAGTGTTCTTTTTCACAAATCCTAGTATCATTGGAGATTTCAATTTCTGTAGTTCTTTTTGCTACATCTTTTTTTAAAAAAACTACCCTGCATATTTGCATGTTTCTCCTTCTTGGTTCTTGATAGCAAAACCACATAATGGCAGAACGCAATGTGCTCCTGAAGAATGTGAAACATCCTTTCCTCGTGGGGCTCCACTATTCTTTCCAGACCAAGGAGAAACTCTACTTTGTACTGGATTATGTAAATGGAGGAGAGGCAAGTACCTGTCTGTGCTCTTTTTCACAAATCCTAGCATCATTGGCAGATTTCATTTTCAATCTAAACTGCATTGACATTTTCTCCTTCACTCCTATGAATGATTCAGTGCATGGCTGGATGATAACTAAATCAACCTTGGACAGAAGACTAAAATTGAAGTTAGTCCTTCTTACAACCTTAATTGAGCCTGGAATTATGGTCATAAGTTGTGATGTCCCTAAAGCAGGTCACCAACTTTTGACTTCTTTTTTGTAGCAGTCATACAGTGAACATGGTGGCTATAAAGCAAACACTGCAGTCATCAAACAAATGCTGTGGTCATTAAGGTCATTAATGTTCATTATGGGATTTTTTTCTCAAAACCTGGAAATAAATGTCGATTTTCATCAAAAACATCACAAATCATGGTCACATGACTGTGTGATGCTGGAAAATGGCCATAAATGGGGACCAATTGCCAAGCACCCAAAATGCAGTCATTTGACTGCAGTGGGTAGTGGCTGTCAGACATTCAGAACCAGGTTGTAAGTATCTTTGGGGGAGTCTGTCATAACATCAGAAGGTCACCAAGCGATCAGGCATAAGTGGAGAACTACCTTTATAAAATACTGGAGCAGTTCCCTATGAAATTGTGTTAAAATTAGGCAGTGATCTGGTTACATAACTGGGGTTGTATAAATAATATTTATCATCATTATCATTTGCAACATATGTGTGCTATTTCCTATGTCAAAGTATCTTGAAGCAGTTCACAATGAAAAAAACAACCAAACTAATAATAAAGAATACATGAAAATGACAGCCATCAAGGTATAGCGGTTAAAGTGCTGGACTAGAAACTAGGTTCTAGTCCTCCCCTAAGTGAATATCGATACTCCCCAAGGAATGAAAAGTTACTAATGAAAGTAAAATCTATTTACTAAAAAGTGGGTAAAATAATTCTTTCAACTTTCCAAATGGGAATGCCGAAATGAAACTGCTAAAATTGTTTGAGCAGGGTGTATGATATTGGACCCAGATTGTTGGGGCAATATGCTGACTCTGTAGACTGCTTAGAGAGGGCTATAAAGCAGTAAGAAGCAGTATATAAGTCTAAGTGCTATTGCTATCTTTTGATTGTGTTAAATAAAAAGAGGGTTTATGAAACATTGTGCTGCTTTCCTAAGTTTTTCTCTCTCTGTTTCTAGTTATTCTTCCACCTACAAAGGGAGCGCTGTTTTCGTGAACCTCGTGCTCGCTTCTATGCAGCAGAGATGGCCAGTGCGGTGGGCTACCTTCACTCACTGAATATCATATACAGGTAAATTATGTTGGCATCAGAGCAGGTATTGATCCTATTGCTTGCTGCAAAACATATCAACATGTGAATTAACGGAATAGGTTTGGCTGCCTGTGAGCAAAATAACATGGGGCGAGTTTCTCTGAGATTTTTGCATTTATTTAGAAATATGTTTGTCCGAGAAAAGCCCCCAAGACCCTCTGACAAATCCAAGTGTTGCTATATTGGATATCTTTAGAGCATGCCATAGAGAGCCATTTTGGTGTACTGGTTAAGGCATCAGACCAGAACCTGGGAGACTGGGAGTTCTAGTCCTGTGTTAGGCATGAAACCAGCTTAGTGACCTTGGGGCAGTGAATGTCTCAGCTTTAGGAAGAAGGAGATGAAAAACCATTTCTGAAACCTCGCCAAAAACTCAATGGGACTTGTCTAGGCAATTGCCAGGAATAAAAATCTGACACACAGAGAGAGAGAGAGAGACAGAGAGAGAGACAGAGAGAGACAGAGACAGAGAGCAAGCAGACAGCATATGTCAAAGTGTGCTCCAATAGAGACTATCGCTTTACCACAAAATGGATTTCAGAGTGAATTGAAATCATTAGTTGAAAATGATAATTTGGAGCATACCAATCATTTTAACATAGTCTTTCCCAGCTAGGTATCCCTCAGATGATATGATCAGGTTGCATAGGAATTATGGGAACTGAAGTCTAGCATATTGAAAAAATACATTAAGGATATACTCAAGAAGTTTGAAAGCTATACAGACTGTCTTAAAGTTTCTTTGTCTGAGCACTGCATTTGGGATGGCTGAATGGGAATCTATACGTTACTGCAAGAGATCTGGATCTATCTTCTGTCTGTCCCTGCTGTACCATATAAACATAAATTCCTTTCTTGTTCTCTCTTTTTTTAAGGGACTTGAAACCTGAAAATATTCTTTTGGATTGTCAGGTATGTTTATTAGTGTTGTTGTATGGAGAAAATTAAAATTGTCACTGTTAAGAGAGACCAGATTTAGTAATGTCTAACAACTACCTCCTATAGTTTCCAGTAGTTTATGATGAAACATTTGCATGCTGTGTCAAGTGTGAGACATGTATAATTAAGAGCATGTCATGTGTGAGAAATGACTTGTGAAATGGTCCCAGGCTTTCCCCAGTCACTGCTTCTGAGTTTCACTGCAAGTTGCTAGTTTTTAGTAACTAATATTTTGCTTGTGGACTTCTGCTCAGGATTCACAGTTGCCTGGGTTATGTTTGATAAAAATATTACTAAAAAAACAAAGGGCATTGTTACCAGCTCCAGATTTAAAAAGCCTATTTGTTTTGTTGTCTATTTTGAAATATATCAAGAAGACTGAAATTTCTCCCTAATCCTTCAGGGTCACATTGTTCTGACAGATTTTGGGCTTTGCAAAGAAGGAATGGAGCCAGAAGAAACAACATCTACTTTTTGTGGCACACCAGAAGTATGATATAGTGTTTCTTAATTTTTTTTACTCTCAGGAACCTGTCCTACTTTTTAAAATAAAGAAAAAGCTCTTCCCAAAAGCTCTTCCCAAAAGAGCTTGTGTCCATGGGTTGTATTTATTGATACTTATTCTATCAAAAATTAAAATTGATGCATGTAGAATATTTATCTGTTGAATCCTGTAAATTAATATGGTAGTATTCAAGCCATCAGATATTAACATTAATTTTAAAAAATTATGAAAAACTCATATTTTTAATAAATAAAAAATAACAATGACAAGAGAGCCATTGTTTTAAATTTTTGCAAATATCTTCAAATTTTTATTTCACAGACCTCTGTGGGGTCTTGGGGAAGTCCCCAGGGATCCTCAGGGCATACTTTAAAAAAATACTCATATAGATGTATCATTACCACTTAAATACATACTTTTTTGTACTACTTCCAATAAAGAAAATAAATGTGGCTTTTGGGAAAGTAATTGCAATCCTTTGTGTATATAATGATATATTATTATTAAAATTTCCACATATTTCTACAGTACTTGGCTCCAGAAGTACTTAAAAAGCAGCCTTATGACCGAACTGTTGACTGGTGGTGCCTTGGAGCTGTGCTTTATGAAATGCTATTTGGCTTGGTAAGTTTTGCTTCTGAAGTGGAGACTAAAATGGCCTGGGAATGGGAATGGCTTTTCATCCTAATATATAAACAAACTTCAGACAAAGGGACAAGAAACAGCATCAGGTTTTTTACATAAAAGTTTAAGCTGTCTAGAATTCAACTTCTAGGATCCTCTAGCCAGCCTAGCTAAAGAATTCTGGGAATTGAAGTCTAGACATCTTCATGTTGCCATGTTTTACTGCCTCAGAGTGTTATTAGAACCCTATCTTGTGCTGCTTATCCCTGTATGCTAGTATAATTAGCCATGTTTATCATATTCCAGCATAGGTGGAATTTGGATAACAGTGTCTTCAAATCAATTGCCAGGTGGCTCAGTCGATCAATTAATTAAAGGGTGCTTGAGTTCTTGCATATGTTAAGTCTGTCAGCATATCAGTCATGTTGATAATTGTATGTTTGGAAGCAGGATTGGATCAGTTTATATTAATACAAATGAACTAATTGTGCAGCACACACATTTAATCTTACTAATAAAGCTATTCCTTAGGGCTATCAAACCTAAACTGTGAACATATAGCTTTTGCACTTTTCCTGTAAATGTTTGCTGCCATCTTGCCCTGTATTTTTCACCTACAACGAATATAGAATAGAATAGAATAGAACTTAGAATAGAACTTAGAATAGAATTTAGAAGAGACCTTGGAGGTCTTCTTGTTCAATGCCCCCTACTTACCATTTCAGACAAATATGGTAGTCTAACTTTTGAATGGTTTATTCAGTAATTTATTTTAAACAAACTATAATAGCATACATTTCTTTCATTAAACTTATATAAGAAACAGCATGAATTGCATTTTATCTAAACGCGATACAAATTTACATTGTACTATATGCTATTGACCTTTTCCTATTTTTACTGTCAGCCTCCATTTTACAGCCGAGACATGTCACAGATGTATGAGAATATTCTGCACAAACCACTTCAGATTCAAGGAACCAAGACCATAGCAGCTTGTGATATCCTACAAGGACTCCTTCATAAAGACCAGAAGAAGAGGCTTGGAACCAAGACCGATTTTGTATGTGATAACTGCTTATTCTTGGAACCCCAGGCATCTTGTCCTGCTAAAACTCGATCCTACTTGGCAGTATTTTAAATCTGTAGCAGTGTGTGTGAGATTTCACAACTCTTTTCACTATTTCTGATATTTTCTCTGCCCCATCACTGCTACTCCTTTATCAATGTATCTCCACTATCTTCACTTTCATCCAGCACAGTTTTTTATTTTTATAATTTCTGCATTTTGGAATGCTACAAATACTGTACAGTTTGCTGCTTAATAAATATATAATAGAACTTAAATAACTAGATAATTTGGAATTTAAGCAGTACAAGTGGAAGATTAGAGTGGGCTATATATTCAATAGGTTAATGGAAACTTTCATATTTTGCTATATCAATTTTAAGGCTGGACATAGTATACAGAATAGTATACAGAAAAAGGAAAACTAATGGGCATTTCCATTACACACTTAATGTACTTCTGCTTCTACATTTATATCTCAATGTACTGTACTTTTCAGCCAGCACTGTGCATCTGAGCATGCAATTCCCTCGTGCACTGCATGTCTTTGTGCATGCATGTGCGATTCCCCTCTTGCGTGCAACAACATCCTGCACATGTACGTTCATATCCCGCATACCCCCCTCTGCCCCCTGCACATGCGCACCAGATACCCGACAATCAGCTGTCGGGCGGCACCACATGCATGCGCAGTGGGGCTCTTCCAGGTGATCTCTTGCGTGCCAGGGGAAATGGCTCTGCATGCCACTTCTGGCACGTATGGCATAGGTTCGCCAACACGGTGTTAGAAGGTGAAGCTTATGAAATCCCTAAAGAATTCTGAGTCAGCTGAGGTGACTAGTTCCAACTGCTTGTATGTTAGGTTGTGATATAGACACAAGTTAGGGTGCCCTGATTGCCTCAATGGCCCTTTGTGAGCTCCTGGACCTTAGGGCTCATGAGAGAGTCTTCAAGAAATAGGTTTTAGGGTGATTTCAACCTCCATTACCTAAAAAAGTATGTAAGTCCCTAGCCTCCATTTGTGAATCCACAAAAAAGATGATAGATAGATAGATAGATAGATAGATAGATAGATAGATAGATAGATAGATAGATAGATAGATAGATGATAGATAGATAGATAGATAGATAGATAATTTGATCTGGTCTTTATTCTTTCATGAACAGATCACTTTCTACTCAGACTGAGAATTTTAGCTTTCCTAGACCTCTGCCAAAGCAAGGAACCTATTAGAACGGTCCATCTTAGAAGCCTGATGATCTGGGAGTTACCAGAGGGATGGGGATTTGAAGAGAGTGAGGATTGGGAATTAATTGGGCTTTTCCTGACAAGTTGGCAGCCTTGTGCTTTTGCTTCATATATCTTTGCAATACAGAGACAGAATACTTGAGGGGAGGGGGAGTTGTGTGGTTTCTCTAGTAATCTGGTGTTTTGATAACCTACAGGAGGAACATTGACACTTGCTGCCCTTATTGCTACTGAGTAGGCTTGAGCCTGAGTTCATACCAGGATTTAATTGTGTACATATTTGGTACAATGAGCTTCTGTATAACAATGTACAATTGTTTATCTTTACAATTAGTAAATGTATTTTAGGAAACTATTTACAGTATGTAAATTTAGATCAATGATTCATTGCAGCTAGGTATAGATAAACATGTAGCAGATAGCAGCTCATCTTTATTTTACTTTTTCAGCTTGAAATAAAGAACCATATGTTCTTCGCTCCAATAAACTGGGATGATTTATATAATAAGAAGATCACTCCTCCATTTGATCCTAATGTGGTAAGTGGTTTATTATGCTATAGGCAATCTTTGTGAAATTGTGAAGAAATATTAGAAAAAGCTAACAATTCTGAGTGCTTTTCAGGTATTATGGATCTACATTTCTTAATTTGTTACAGATTTTCCTGACATGTGAAATATTGAGCCAATTCACATGATTTACCATCTTGGGATACTGCAATTTGCCTTTAAAGAAAAACTGGAAATTGTTGCAGAGTAAAGAATGGCTTGCAGAAATCACAGTTTACTCAGTTTGCCTATTAGAACTAATTAAAAATCTAATTACACATAGTGCTAAATGTATTTTTCAGAAAAAAATGTATTTAATAGGAGCATAAAACAAGTAGTTATCTTTTAATTCTTGCAAGTTGCCTGGGAAGTCATATAAATTTTCTTAATAAATAAATAGAATAAATAAATAGCTTCCTTTCCTCTATCCCTTCCCCTCCACCAGTGAATGGAAAATAATTGGGACACCATTCCCCAGACAAATAACCCAGGGCCTTCCTCTCACTTTGTCTCAGAAACATGGTATGTAATGTATGTAATCCAGAATGTTTGACTGACTTCGAAGTGTTTTATGTGAAAGGAATAAAAGGAACCTAACGTAACATAAATTCAACTCAGTATAAAGTTGAATGGACTAGTAGGATTCAGCATAATCCCAAAACATTGCTGTGTTTCTCTCCTTCTACACCCTCTGGTTTTAAGAATGACTATTTACTTTATTGTTATTATTGCCTAAAACTTAAATAATAATATATTTTTTTAAAGGCTGGGCCAGCTGATCTACGACATTTTGACCCAGAATTCACTCAGGAAACTGTTCCCAGTTCCCTCATCCAAACTCATGATCTAGCTACCAGCAGTTCCAGTGCAACAGATGCTTTCCTGGGTTTTTCATATGCACCAAATGATGAAGATTAAAGCATCTCATGTAAATATGACTTGTAAAATCTAGGTTTAGCTTATTATTTAAATAAGAGGAAGACATCACATACCTATCTAATCTTCTAACTGGAAAAGAAGCAAACTTTGCAACTTTGACATACAGAGACTTACAATGTGAATGTTCCTCTTCCTGAGCATTGCCAATCACGGTAGTTAAAATAATTTTATTTGTAGAGGCATGAGCACATTTATTGATACAGCCTTTCACCAAATGGATAAAGTCCTAAGAGAACGCAAGATGCTTAGGAGAGATTTATTGTATTCTAAATAACTAATTATTTTGTATTCATTTGTTTTAAGTTTGGGGCACTACCAATTCAAACTAGTTGAATCCATTTTCTTGCAATATTATTCTAGATTTTATGGCTCTTGAATTTTTGATTGCAATTTGCTTTTCATTGTGTATGTTCTTGAAGAACTCTTTTGAGTTAGTCAGAAAAGCTGTAACTACCTCTCCTTGACCCCAGTCCTCATAGCTAGTCCTACTGGTATGAAATTGGCATGGCATTGAATTCATTTTTCTCAAATCAGTTGACACCTCCAGGCTTTTTGTCAGGTTTTAGGTATTTCTTTTTAGTTTTGAATGCACTGCAACAAAATGAAATTGGTGGAAACAGCAAGCCATCCATCATACAGTCTACTGGATTCCAAGTATTGTTGCTTTAACCTGGAAATATTCTAGTGATCTCTGTTTATATAGTTTTAAATAATCTTGCTTATTTGTTCCTGTTTATTGAAAGTTAAACTCTTATAATAACTACCTCTTAACAGCACAGATCGAAAAGAAACAAATGGATTTATTTTAAGAATCGATAAAGAAAAATAAACTGCCTGAACAAATCTGTTAAGCCCAAAATGGTATTGATGAAAAGATAAAAAATAAAGTCTCTATGTGATATTTTATGGACACAATATATAATTTTTTGGCAACATGTGAATTGTTTCAAACACAGGCAAAGTTGACCAGGTGATTTTTATGAATAAAAAAGGGAATGTTACAATTTCCATCCAATGCTCTTATGCCAATATAGTATGTAGTCTCATTTTTTAAAGATTTAGAACAAATAATCTATGTCATGTTGTTTTCAGCCACTCTGTACCACATTAAATAATTTTGAGTTATGCATTCTTCTTTCATCTTTTAGAAAATGAATAGCAATTCACACATTATATAACTACTTGCATAGCCAAGATCTTTAAGAAAATAACAAGCTCATTCTAAAAACAATTTCTTACTATCAGCAAAAAGCAAAAACACAGACTTCTGATAAACTCTATAAAGAGATCCAGAGTTGGCTAAAATGAACCACTAGTAAGTATAAGAACAAAACTATCAAAGCAAAGATTTTCTGGAAAAGATCTAATTTTTTTGTTGCTAATTTTATGAAATGGCAAATTCAGTTACAAGCAATATGAATTACAAAATTTTTTGGTAGCTCTGTACTTGCTTAACATTTTTTAACATCCTGTGTTTAGATTTAGCTTACATTAGATTTTCCAAAACCTTAGTACTGAAGTGTTTGGAAAGTAGCTAATAGTTTTATAGACAGACAAATATATTACAATATAGGAATTATTGACTTACAACAATTCATTTAGTGATCATTTGAAGTTACAGCAGCACTTCTGACCAGCAAAGTCAGATTCACTTAGCAACTCTGGCAAGAAAGGTCATAAAATGAGGCAAAATTCACTTAACTGTTAACTGCTTAGCAATAGAAATTTTGGGGCACAACTGTCATAAGTTGAGGACTATCTGTATAAACTTTTTAAGGCTGCAGTCTATTCCATCAGATACTTGGAAAGCAAATAGTGTGGGGATGTTTTTAGACTGAAGTCTGTTCAAAAACTCACAATGATTGGATTCAGACCTTAGAGTTTACAAATCATCTGTCTCCCACCAACATCAGCAAGCCACCATCAGTCAAAATTCATATTAGTGGCCTGTGGGATTTAAAATTATGAGTTTGGTGGTCCCTGAGGTTGGAGACTCCTGACATAGAGAAATGCCTCCCTTTCTTCCTTTTCCTTTGTCATCAAGGTAGTAACAGAAGCGCCGGGTTGGTTCACATGATAGTTTCTGCTAAATTCTGTGTATCATTGCTATATTATAACAGCAGAATACCTTCCTACTCCCACTTCTTTATTATAATAAAATGTTTAAGACATAATAAAAAGTATAATATATTTGACATATAAAGATAACTTTTGTCTAATTTATTTGTAGAAAGAATAATGAAAAAAATCACTTATTCGGTGACCGTTCATACTTGTGACATCACTGAACAAGTAAAATGACCTTATCTTGTGGTTATGAATATAGTCACATAATCATGGTCTGCAACCTTCCCCGTGAATTTCCCACAAGCAAAGGTAATGGAGAAACCTGCAGAAAACCATAGTCTTGAGGTCCTTGCTTAACATTTGTGTTGTCCTCATTTAATGATGGCAACTGGAACTGACATCACCAGTGGTGCAGTCATGTGATTTTTAACATGACCATGTTGCTTAATGTAGGAGTTTCCATTTCCAGTTAGCATCATTATACAAGGATTACTTGTATGCCCATTTTAAAATATACCTAAAGAAAACAACACAAAATTCCCAATAGAAACTTTTCTGCCTTGACATCTTTGTCTTATCGTAGTGGGATTTTATAGTTTATGTGCCTTCACCAATCCATCAGTTAGTTTGGGATTTGAACTTGTAGAATTCATAGTATGATTAATTCTTCTATAAGGTATTAAATTAGGAAAGGCAGACAATATTTTAGACTAGAAATATTGGCTAGAAGACCTGAGAGGTCCTTGGACTGCAAGGAGATTAAATCAGTCGATTCTAAAGGAAATCAACCCTGACTGTTCTTTGGAAGGACAAATACTGAAGTTGAAGCTCAAATACTTTGGCCACTAAATGAGAAGTGAGCACTAATTGGAAAAGACTCTGAGTTGGGAAAGATTGAAGGCAAAAAGAGAAGGGGATGAGATGGTTAGATAGTGTCATCGAACATGAATTTGGGCGAACTCCAGGAGACAGTAGAGAACAGGAGAGCCTGGTGTACTGTGGTTCATGGGGTCACAAAGAATTGAACATGACCTAGTGACTGAACCAGAATTCAAGAATCAGAGCAATTTAATTGGCAACCCTTTAAGATCTAGCAAAGGCAAATATGCTGTATTTAAATGTACTTTGTACTATTTGTCATCCACAAGAGTAAAAGTTGGAAAATAATCAAATTTGTGCTCATAATTTGAAGTAAAAGACCATGACACACTGGTAAATAATTTGCTTAGTAAACAGATCAGAAGCAAGGGATTCACTGACATGCTATCAACCATGGTTTATAAACTTAAGTATATGGTTTTTCACTACATGCTACATCCATACAAACCACATTTATCTGTCTCTTCAGATATGTAGGAATATTTCTATCAGGTGGTCAATATTTACACACATACACACACCTATAAAGGGCCATATGATTCTTGACATTTAATATGATTGATAAAGTTTGATAAAGTTTGAATGATTTATCAAGAGAATAAAGATTTCTTGTAAATAATATTGATATGTGGTGACATGGCTTTGTTCAACTGGACAGCAACACTCGTTCTATATTATGGAAAACATAGATGACCAGAGCACCACACATGTGATAAATAACCATTTATTCAACAATTGTTGAGTCCCAACTTTACAAAAATGAGGAACTCTCATGTATTTTTATTGCAAATTTTAAAAAGATACATATAAGCCTTGAGTTATGATTGAGACTGAAATTTCCATCAATAAGTGATTCAGTCATAATGGCACGTGACTGCAGGACTAAGCAATGGCAATCACTGCAGTCCCCATTGCTATTGTTAAGCGAGGATCATGGATCATTAAATAAGCACTTAATTGCAACTTCCTGAAAGGGTTTCAAAAACCAAAACCAGCGGGGAAGCTGGCAGGAAGTTTCAAATTCCAGGTGATTTCAAGCAAGCTGGCAGACAGGAAAATGGCTACTGCCACTGGGTGGAAGAGAGTGCCAGGGGAAGTGCAGTGTAAAGATAACAGGGTTTGGGGTGGCTACTGCTGGGTGGGAGAGGGTATGTAAGTGGTGGGGTACAACTGGCAAAGCAAATAATATAAGCTAAACATTGTTGTCCTTTTCAGTGGTCACTGGAATCAATATTTTTCGGATCTGAAAATTTCGCAAGATCAGATCAGATTTGTTTTGAGAATGACTTGCAATTATGCAACCTGATCTGAAAACCTCACCTGCCTTGGTTCACAAGTTAAACTTTAACAAGATTGTTCCTTAGTGCAAAGTGCTTACAGTTCCCACCATACACAAACCATCCTTAATGGCACAGCATGTTGTGTAAACGAAGCCAATAATTGTGGTTTAGTCAATAAATCATGGTTAAGCAACCTATACATTTATATACATCCACTTTAAAGTGGCAAAATGATACAGAAAATGATTGCTACCATTCAATGGTCGCTTGGATTTTGCAGCCCTAATTCAATGTAGAGAGCACCAGTTTGGTCTAGTCGTTAAGGTACCAGACCAGGAAATTGTAAATGTTAGTTCTGGCCTTAGGCATGAAAGCTGGCTGGGTGACTTTGAGTCAGTCACTTTCTCTCAGCCCAACCCACCTCACGAGGTTGTTGTTGTGGGAAAAATAGGAGGAAGAAGGAATATTCAATACATTTTCCCCTGGAATTACTTGTAAAATAATTATTTATATAAATAAATTGGATTGATAGAATGACAGAATCAAGCCAATACAGTATTTTACAGCTATTGCCTCGTGTTATGGAACATTTTTCTTAGAGAGCTACAGATTTGCAAGAAATAAGCCAGGAGGATTAATAGAAATTCTAAATTCTAATTAATATTCTTCATTGCCGCTTGTTCGCGCTAAAGACGGGGACGGAGAAAACATTCCCCCCACCTTCGCTATGGCACATTCTCACAAGCTCCCCCTATTTCCAAGAGTGGAGGATTCCACCGGAGAAGTCACCCCGCCACCTCCAGGCAGCAGTTCCAAGTCTGCGAGTCTCTTAACATTCCCAGATCGGACGTCATCAAACCTCATTTTTTGTCTACCCCCACCGGAGGTTTACAGTTAAGCCGCGTTCCGCGCACGCGCAGGAAGAGAATCGCGTTGCTAGGGTGGAGCGGCCCTTAGTTACCGCGTGTTGCTGCCGCCGCTACCAAGGTTTCTTAATCGAGGAACCGCGAAAAAATGGTGGCGACTCCGCAGGTAAATGGATTTCCTTGGGCGGGAAAGGGTGAGTTAGTAATACGGTGGAGACTTAACTATAAACGCTCGTTTGCCATCCTTGCATCTGTGGTCCATTTACATGGAGGAAAACAGGGCTGGCCTTGCGATGCCCTCGAACTTGGCGCTTGGCGCTGTTGCTAGAGGATGGTTTTTGCAATGCTTGCGCTACCTCAAAGAGGAGGTTCCCCCATTTTTGCGTAAAGTTTATTCCTTAATTCCTCCCAGTCCCAACCGTTGCAGAAGTATTAAAGTGTGGCTGAGGAACTGTCGGCTCTTCCAACTGTTGCTGCTGGGATCGGACCAGCATCGCCAAGGATGCTGGGAACGGTAGTTTAGCAACTTTTGGAAAACGAGATTCCCCCACTGCTGAATTAAACGGATGCAAAGAGCCTCCCCTTCCTGCCCGAAAGAAGGAAAAACATTTTTTTCAACAGCCCCTTGATGAGGAATATGTGGCAACACTTCCTTAGCAAGGAGCCTCGTTTCTAACATCAGGGTGATGAACAAAAAAACCTCATCGAGTCCAGGGGTCTTTGGACAATTCATTTCTGTAGAAGGTAGGCACGCTGGATGGCTCTCTAATCCCGTTAGCAACATAGGGACACACCCACAGAGAACATGATAATTTCCATCCCTATGTGGACATTTAGTTATAAATAATTCTAATATAGAACAGTAGTTTTTACTACTGTTGAAGATGGTTTTTTGCAGAACATAAACTTACAATGGGTAGGTTTTTACCCCATGTTAATGCAAATAGGCCCATTATGGTTTAGCATTACCTGTAGGATTACCAGATTTCTGAACAGGTCAAATTGCTCAAAGACAATTAGGGGTAAAGGAGGACACACTATTTCACTTTCTTGGCATTGGGCACAAAAAAAGGTCATTGGTCTACATGAATATGAAATTATTTTTTCTAATATCAGAAAGACTGGCTTTTGAATGTCAAGGATGTGTTACAATAAGTTAGGAGAAAATGGTTGGTGTGTAACTGATTAAAGTTGAGTCAATTTCAGTCAGAATTTACTAAGACTATTTTTAGAGAAGGTTATGCTGCAGAGAAAAGCTGCAGGAAGAGATAGTTTGTAGATACTAAAAAAGCCAAAAAATATTTACTTTTAATGCTATGCCTGTCAGATAGAGAAAATTAGGACATCCTTTTTAAGGACATCTGGTAGCCTTAATTATGTCTGAATCAACCTTTACTTCTGTTCCTCAAGGACAGACATAGATTGATCAATATAATTCCTTATATTTTTGTAGCTGCAAATGCATTGTTACATTGCATAAATTGTGGAGTTGTATAGCAATATAATTCATGATTTTTTGCCAAGAATTGTAATCCAGAGAAGATGC